GGAAGGAAGGAAGGAAGGAAGGAAGGAAGGAAGGAAGGAAGGAAGGAAGGAAGGAAGGAAGGAAGGAAGGAAGGAAGGAAGGAAGGAAGGAAGGAGGGAAGGAAGGGAGAGAGGAAAACTACCTGGTGCTCTTTTAAGGCAAAAGCAACTGGATATTCCATACAAATGGGAACTACTCTGTTCATGAATTCACTTGCGGTTTCACTTGGACCACTTGCTGTGGTTAATATACACTGAAGCCTGAAAAGAACGTCAGCACATTCAATAAATAAATAAATAAATAAATAAATAAATAAATAAATAAATAAATAAATAAATAAATCAAAGTGCTGCTATCAGTTGCCTCAGTTGGTACCTCTAGCTTGCAAACTTCAATGCTCCGAAATCACACCTAACAGTATCAGGGCAAAACCCCGCAGCGTCAGTCCTCTCCTGCTTTCCCGTCATTGTCCTGCAGAGAAAGTAACGCGAATTCCAGCGGGGCCACGGCGGCGGCGTGACGGCCCTCGCAGTCGCACTCGGTTCGGCTGCGATGCTGCCGGCCGCTTCCCGGCGGCGCCTGGCTCGCGGCTGTGGAATCTTTACAATCGGGGGCTATTGTATTTTTCATCTTTGTTCAGCAAGGAGAAAAAATGAGAGAGAATCCTGTGTACGTCTCTCTCTGTGATGAACTTAATTGCCTGAAGAAGGAAAACATACAACAAACAACACCAGCTAGAAATCAATAATGAAAAAACTTCTCTTTTTTTCTTAACAGATTTTAAGATACTTTTCTTGCTTTCAGAAGTTTTAATGGTGTTTGCTCGAAAACAACGCATATATTTGTATTTTATATGTTTTTCTGCTTACTTTTCTCTGAACTGGATATTAAAAGTCTGTCTGCCACCCAAGGAAAAATACATACAAACCATACCAATTCATACCAAAAAAAAGGCTATATTCTTTCAAACTGCATGGGATTTCTACACTACCTATCAGTGGCATTTGCCATCCACACATTTTGGTCTGAGCATACACACGGAGTGTTGGTTCAACTATGATAAAAAAAAAATAATAGAACTAGGTTTGATTTAATCCCACACTGTTTACCTAGGAATCAATGTGCAAAAAGTTTTTCCTCTGCCAACAAAGCAAGAAACAAAACCAAAGGGATTTTTTGGCTCATTGTTACAAGCATTTTTTCAGGCAGCGGCCTAATCTACAAAAACAAAACAAACAAAAAACCTTCTCTTGACTTTCTTCCAGGTCAAAAGCCCTTTTGCTGCCTCCTCCTACTTCCAAAACGTGGGATGTGGTCAGTGCTCGGCCCTGTGGAGCCTCTGCCCATCGAGCCGGCTCAGCCGCCGTGCGGGACATT